TCCCCCCTTGTTTCTGCGCGCTGGGCTCAGGCCTTTGGTAGACTCTGGGAACTTACCCCCCCCCCCCCAACTGTCCTTGCCTGGCCCTCTGTGCCAGGATCAGTCCTTGGGGCCCTGTGCCACTCCTGCCCAAGCCTGTGTGTTGGGATTGGGCCTTGCACTGCCCTATCCAGCACACAAGAGCTACACTATCTGGCCTGTGGAGCTCCCCATAGGTTCAGAAATGTTGGCAGCAGGGGGACAGTGGGACTGCTAGCCGCTGCTAAAATTTTGGACTGGGGGGAGCCCTGTGGGCTGGAAGACATGGTGGCAGGGCTAGTCTCTGGCTTTCAGGCTGGGAGTCGATCACCCCTGGGTTAGATCCTCAGCTGATGTAAATTGTGGTTTCTCCATTAAAGTCTGTGGAGATGTGCTGATTAGCAGCAGCTGAGGATTTGGCCTACTGATTCCAAAAGTGATATGTTGCTGGAAGATCCAGCTTCTTAGAAGGACATCTGTGTCCACCAGTAATTGTTTCCATTGTATCATCTTTCCTCCCAGCAGCTCTGATTTTTCAGAGCCATGGAGCCAAAGTGAATGGCAGAATTCCCATTGGCTTCCATAGGAGTCAAATCTGGCACTGTTACCAGCATGGCAATCTCAAATGCCTGATTGTCACATTAAGTAGTTAATGGTTCAGCTGGCCGTGGTGTATGAAGTCAGAAGAGCCAGTGTTATTCCTTTTTCCATGTATTACCCAGTTTAATCATTACCAGGTGCAACATCCTAAAGCCATGACTGCCTGGGGCAGTTAGCTCTTCGAAGCTTTCCTATGAAGATGAATGGAGTTGCTGTTTGTTTTTAAAAAATCATATAGTGTTTTTTATTTACACATTACAGTAAAATGACTTCTCAGCTTGTTCTGGTGATGGCAGGAAAGGATTGTTGCTGGTGTTTCTGTATTCAGCATTTCTGTATTATGGCTCAGTGAAACTGCCAATTGTATGGTATTTCGTGCTGGCTTCAACTTCTCTTAAGAGCTCCAAGAAATGTCTGGTGGTGGAGTTTTATTACTGTAACCTCCTTGTTGGTTTTTGGTAGCAAGTCAACTGATTTTAAAGCTTACTGTTAAAAATGATTTTATATGCTCTGGAGAAGTGCATTCTAAATGGGAATAGCTTATCCTGTTCACAGATATTGTGGATAAGTGGTTCTATATGTGGTATTTATGAAGTATCAAAAAATCCAGGAGGAATTGGTAAGAAATGTGATAGTATAAAACAGATTCAGGCCCTTCACAGTTGAAATGGATAAGAACCACAAAGTCTGAAGTAGATCAAAGCTTTTCCAGCATGTGGGGATTGTTAGATTTGGGAGATTAGCTGGGTCTGGCCACATAGATGTATCCTTCAGAGAAGGTGTTCATGTCATTGTAGTTGATAGATTTTTCTCAGTTTGCACCAGCTAAAGGTTTGGCTTGGTGTCTTTCTGGTAATTTAGTCTGTATTTGTTTTCTTGTAATCAGTCCACAAAGGTTACATTTGTTCATGTGAAAGTACTACGCTCAAATAATGATTTTATTTTGGAAAAGTTTTTGCAACAGAGAAAATGAGTTCTTCCCTCTTTGTTGCTTTTACTGCATTTTTGACCGCACTGCTCAGTTCAAGTGCCTGGCTTTGCGTGTAAAAGGAACTAGGTGCTGGGTACATGCACTATGCCTATAGCTCCACATATTTAATTATTAAATAGACTGCTTGCATTTCTAAAGTGACTCTTATCTAAGAGTCTCTCAGATGCCCAACAAAGGGTGTTTGTACCCAAAAGCTTGCAAAGAAGAATTTTTCCAACTGTTGTAGGTGGTCTAATAAAACATTATTGGATTTAACCAAAGAACCTTGCCTGCCTATGTCCTTAGACCAACATGGCTACAACCTATACCCCTCAAAGCATGGGTGACTGGTGCCTTCTGAGTCTGGGGGGGTACCTGCAGAAACTGTCAGCAGTGGGGGCGGAGCTGGCAACTCCTGCAGGCGCTGCCGCTAGCATCAGCAGCTGGGGCAGAGCTGGTGAGTAGACACCGGCAGCAGTGGGGACAGCCCTGTCGGGGGGGCATGTGCCTCCCCATGGCCCCCCTACCAGTGGCCCATGCCTCAGATCATTATAAAACATACAATTAAAGCTCTTGCCTTTCTGAGACATTTAAGATACATGTTGGAATTGCTGCATGCATGAATGAAATGCAGCTTTAATATAACAAAAATGCACACAATAGTTTTGGAACAGGAAAAAAAGAAGAATACTACATACCAATGGGGCTGGAGGGGCATTTATGTAGACAGAATGCAATTATCTCAACCGGAATTTGACTACAATAGTGAAGTTAATGCACCAACCCTGACAAAGTTGTCATGAGTTAACTCATCACCACAAATGGACTGTCGATTCAAATATTGACTCATTGGAAAAAATGTTGTGTTACCAACTGAATCACCAGCATTACTTCCTCCTGCAGCTAGCTGTCCTTTGCAAATATCCTAACCAAATAGTGACTTATAGATCAACCTTGTGTGGCACGTGAGGGCTGACTTGATTACAGCACATGCTGTCCTAGCTGCACATTTCAGATCAGAAGCCCTAATACTGTAGAATACATTTTAGTCACAGTTGTAACAGTATCTTTAAAAGTGTCAAGGGTAGAAGTTTATATAAACAAGAAATAATAGAGAGAGAGAAACTATTTGAATCTGGACACACAGGAGGAGGGAAACAAGATCCAATGGGAAAAAAAAAACCCTGGATCACAACAGCGGCTTTACATTCCCACGTGAGCATTTTTCTTGGATTGAGTACTGCCCCAAATCATTTTCCTAAAATCTCAGACTGACTGGAGTTTTTACCATCAGTTGAAAAGAAGCAGAAGTTTAGGCCAGAATATGTTTGTCTTGAGAGCTAGCCAAGAAAGGAGAGTGCTGTAGTCCTCAGACAGCAGCACAGCCTCTGGGGGAGGTTCAGAGAATGAAGAATCTGTTTTCCATTTGGATGCTTTGTACCTTTATGACTGATGAACTGATTGCTGTGATTCGACTGCCATCAATTCATTTCTTCTTAAGCACTGATGCACCAATAAACTGGCAAGGAGATCTAAAGGTACTACTTTACAGACACAAGAAGACATTCTTTCTGCAGTCTAGATGGCTGGGTTCCTCGTCCTTTTTATTTTTCATTGAGTTAAAAACTAGAGGGGGGACTTAAATTTGCATTTACGATACTGTTGCTTTAGTAGGTTACTCACCACAGGAAGATTTGAAGGTTCTTTAGTCTGTAACAAGATTTGACAGATTTGGTGTCCAAATGTTGCTATGAGCATAGACAAATGCTGGGTTTAGTGTAAATATATGTTATGTGCAATATTTTTACTGAAAAATGCACTCTGCATAGTCTCTATGAAAGCCAGTGCTGTCTGTATTAATCACATCTACTATAATGCCAAATATCTATCTTTTAAATGGGCCATACACGAAATGCTCTACCTCCTTTGTCACCATTTTGCAAAGATTCAACTCCAGAAGATGAATAATTTGACGATATGTGGGGGCTGCATGCTTTTAGTTGAAAGATATGTTAGTAGCTTGGGTCATGTACCGGAAAGAACAACTTGGAGACGCACATACACAAACAGAAACATCTGGTGACAACTCTAATGAGCTCTAAGGTTAAGTACAGACATTCAAAAAGCCAGAGGCAGAATTAGTCCAATCTACATGGGTTTCTCTAAGCTGTGTAGTTTGGATTGTGAGTGAATGGAAATCACATTTGCCGTTCAGCTGGGGGAGGCAGGCAGTGACTGAGGCCAGAAGGCAGGGGGTATTCCTGCATGCCTCCGGGCCTGCCAAGGGCGGCCACACCTAGCTTAGCAGGGGCCATCCCTGATGGGCTGCCCAGCACACACACCCTGCTGTCAGCCCACGAGCCGGCACAGAATCTATCCCCAGCCCTGCTGTGGTGGGCAGAGGGGTGGAGTGAAAGGGGAGGCCCCCGGTCATGTAGACCCGGCTCTTCCAAGCCTAGCCAGCACGTTTGGGGGGCCACACATGATGGGACCTTCCCCCCACCATGTTGTGCCCGCCCAGCTGGAAAGCCTGGCCCTCTCCCAGCAAGCTGGTGCCTGTGAGGAGTAGAGGATGGGGGCAGGACTGTGTAGCCCATCTGGTTAGCCAGCCCAGCTGGGTAGGCACAGCAGTGGCAGAAAAGCCCCCACTGCACAGGACCGTCTAGCTGGGCAGACCCCTGTGTGGGCGGGGGGGGCGCTGAGGCTGGGTGGGGCTCTGCTCCCCCACCTCCTCCACCCCCCCACCTGGTTGACCATTTCAGGGAGGGCACTGAGCTAGGGAACAGAGGCTTTGTTGCCTCAGTTCTGTGACAGCCCAGGGTAGGGCAAACG